TATATATATATATATAACATCGTGTTAATGAATACAGAGATGCATTAATCTGTGCCTTTTATACCTGCCTGGAGTTTAGCTTCCAAGGAAAATAGAATTGCCTGGGCAGAATAACTTGGTGATGTGCTTTCTAAACATTTAAAGATTACATAAAAATTCAAAATAATCAAATAATCTTTCAAACAGAACTTAATTTTGAATGAAGCTGTCCAGGCTTCTATTCAGCACTGGGTCTTCTCTCCCTTACAGCTCAATCGTAGAACAAACGTAGCTCTCTATACAATTCAATAGTAGTTAGTGCAATATGGTCAGCTTAACGCGTTTCACAAATAAGCTTTTTCAAGGGATGGGAGGTATTGAATCTATTGTGAACATATTAGACAATATATTTAGTCTTTGCATAATTTCATAACAATTATTATGTACATGCATTTACTATTACAATGAACTTTATTCTCAAGCATATATACCTTGTTCTAAACTACCGAGACTTCCAGGATAGATGAAAAGCTTCCTGCAAGGATAGAGGGGTCTCTAGGGGGTTTCCCCTCCTAGCACCTCTTTACCTCCTCCGTGCAGCGGCGGGATCACAAGGATACCCAGGACCAGGATTCACTTATTATGCTCAATCCTTGTAAATTTCTCACATATAGTGTTCTAACATCTAATAGGTTAATTCAATTGATGTCGACAATCTGTTGGAGGAGGTTATACCATTAGTGTCCACTACACCACGTGTCATAAAACAACCCAAAATCCAAAATCAAAGTTATACCAACCCCGATAACAAGTTAAGCTGACCATATTGGACTAACTGCTATTGAATTGTATAGAGAGCTACGATTGTTCTATGAGGATTAAGTATTGTTCACAGTTTTTTGATATATGAGATATATAACATCATTTATAGTTCATATGTGGCAGCAGGAAGTTCTTAAGGGAGCAATCATGTATTGGTGAACATTGGTTTTAAAATTGTATAAATGTATTTTATTGGAATAAATTAAATGCAATTTTTAGATGAAATACTATGTCTGACGCCTCTTTAAAGCCCCTATTATATAATGGTTTTTGATTCTAGGGATGGTAGAGGGGTAAGGTATTAGAGGACCTGGGGAATAGTTTGTGGGGTTTTTGTATTATAAAAGAGTTCTTCCTGGAAGAAATTTATATACACAGCATAGGCAAGACCTCATCTGGAATATGCAGTTGAGTTTTCGGCTCCAGTTCACAGAAAGGATCTTGGGAAACAGGAGGGAGTGCAGAGGAGGGAAGCTAAACTGATAAGAGGTATGGAGGAGCTCATCTATGAGGATAAATAAACTGCGTCCAGCGCCGCTGATCTTTCCCTGTATATATATATATAAAACGCTTGGATATGTGGTTAATTATGTACAGCTGTGGCATCTGTCAGCCTGCCATTGACTTGTACAGGCTGCTGCTGGCGGCCATACTCAACTGCGTATGACTCAGGCACAGGAATACACTGCTTCTTAACAGTGTCCAGCCCTCTGCAGCCACATGAATGGGGCCTTAGTGCGTTTATTAGCTTGACAATGTTAACATGTATATAAAGGAATTTTGTGAGGCATGGTGTTCAAGGAAGACGTTATTAACAGCGAGAATAATACATTGCCTGGCCCAAAAAAAAGTCACACACTCTAATTATTTCGTTGGACCGCCTTTAGCTTTGATTACTGCATACATTTGCTGTGACATTGTTTTGATAAGCTTATACAATGTCACAACATTTATTTCTGTCCAGAGTTGCATTAATTTTTCTCCAAGATGGAAGTGATGATGGGAGAGTCAGACCACTGCGTAAAGTCTTCTCCAGCATATCCCAAAGACTCTCAATGGGGTGAAGGTCTGGACTCTGTGATGGCCATTCCATATGTGAAAATGATGTCCCTGCTCCCTCAACTACTCTTTCACAATTTGACTCCAATAAATCCTGGCATTGTTGGTAGATCTCAATGAGCTCGTCATTTGAAAATTAGATCTCCAGATGAAAAATAGTGGGCGCCCCTGTCTTAGAATATGCCCGTGCCTTTAAGAAAAAATCCATTGATGGAAAAACCTGGTCATTATGAACGTTGCTGAAACTAGACCTGACCAACTGAAGATCATAACAATGCCTGAAATCCAGGTGGTGCGGTGACTCTTTTTGGCCAGGCAGTGTATGTGGGGTAATGGTTCATTTTTGGACTATAGTAGTCTAAAGTATATGTGAATCTAATCATTGAACTCTCATATAAGCTTTCACATGTTACTGTAATTTCAGAAGTTATTATGAGTCTTTTTAATTCTGCAGCTATCCGTAGCCTTTATATAGGGCAGGGGTAGCAAACCTCCGGCCCTCCAGCTGTGATGAAACTACAAATCCCATGATGCATCTCTCTTCGGGAGTCATGTCTGTGGCTGTGAGAATCTTGCAATGCCTCATGGGATTTTTAGTTCCACCACAGCTGGAGGGCCGGAGGTTTGCTACCCCTGATATATGGTTTCCATCTCTGGAAGAAACAAAAGACAAAGAGCGCCTCCATCGCGTGAAAACGTTTTAATAAAGTGGGTTTAAACAAGTAAAACCATACTCACAAAGGTAGAATTTGTACAGGCATGAATAGATAAAAACGTGAAAAGCTTAGCCCACCGGCTAATCTTCCTCCCTGAGGTTAACGTTTCCGAGGCCACGCCTCCTTCGCCTCGTTCTACCTTTGTGAGTATGGTTTTACTTGTTTAAACCCACTTTATTAAAACGTTTTCACGCGATGGAGGCGCTCTTTGTCTTTTGTTTCTTCCAGAGTTGAGGCTTCCCAAAAGCCTGTCTGAGGGCCTGCCCCATCTGCGGTTTTTGCTTTGAGATCACTGCAGACATTCTCCGAGCCTGGATACAAGCCGCTGGCGCTTCTGTTATTTATTGTTTTCTAGGGTTTCCATCTACTTTAACTAACCACCTGTTGTAGTGTGATTGAATGTTGGGATATTTTGCAGCACTGTAAAACAATTTTTTATATTTTTAGGATGATGTCAACTCTTTCTTAGAGGAGCCTCCATCATTTCGGCCAGCTCCTCCTCCACCTCTTGCAGAAGAAACATCTGGTGTGCTCCGAAAGCAAAATGGAGAGCGAGCACAGCGTCCTTCCTCTGGCTCATCACAGTCTGGGCTTTTCTTCACTGCCCCTCCTTATCCCAGTCCACCACTGCCACCTCTGACTTCACCCCCAACTCCAAGCCCTCCACTTCCTCCTCTCACTACACCACCTACCTCTCCTTATTCCCAGAAACCAAACCAGGCAATATATGCCACTATTTCTCCCAAAATTCAGAATTCTGCACGTTCTGCAGCCCAGCTGGCTCTGGTCACGCAGGTACCTCTACCCCCCTTCCCAAGAGTCCAGTCACCGACCAGGTTAAAGCCTATGATGGAAAGCCCTCCTCATTCAGCTTCTTCTTCACACCCAGAACAATCAGATGCTCATACTACACAACATTTTGTCATGGTGGAGGTCCACCGGCCTAACAGTGAACCTGATGTGAATGAAATACGAGCTCTACCGCAATCCAGAGGTAAGAAGCTTTGGTAAAGTGCCTTGATTTGTGGCCTAGGAAAAGAGAGTAGCCATGTTATAAAATGAACCCATTTTTACATTTAGTTTCCTAATGCAGCAGCTACAGAACTGGGCTGGTGGGCAGGAGGGCATTTGTCCTACATCTCAATACTAGTAAGATACAGTATGTTGGGCTGGTGGCCCGAACTGGAGACAAGTTACCTATTCAGACAATGAACTGAGCAGGACCCACAGTAAGTGACACATATTGGGCATTATGGAACTATCTTGTTCAGACTTACAAGAGTGGCAGAAGTAAGTCTTCCAGCACCAACTTTCCTGCAGTTCTGAGATGTCATGTGACACAGTGCCAATACCCAAGAGCCAGAAGTTGCAGCTGGAAGTAGTGAAAATGCATGTCACTATAATCCATAACCTTTAATAACACTCACTTTTTACTATGCCCACCAAGTAATGAGGCGCCATGGCACACTATGGGGCTGTTTTGTAAACCTTCCACCCAGCATACAGCTCGGAAAATTTGATCACGTGGCACTACCACCTCTGGATGGAGCTGAGGAGCAAGGGAAATTACTATACTTCTCAGGGCCATCTAGTAGTGGCAGTTCCATGCAAATGGCATGCACCAACTATACCCTGAGTGTAAAATGTATAAATCAGACCCTTCGTCTGGTACATTTGATTTATCCTATATAGACTGCCCTGCAATAAAAGAGCTAGTTGGCCGTGTTTGCCCCCCAGACCAAAGGTTCCCAGCCCTCCCCTGGCTAGCAGTCATGTGACCAGTATGTTTCATATTTGACCTTCAGTAATTAATAATACAACTCTGAAAATTGTTAAAACTGACACATTGGCTTTAATGTTTACAGTGAAATGAGTAAATGATGTCCACGTCTACCGGTGGATATACTTTATCTAGATTTCCCTACAGCATTCAATGCTGTACCTCATAAAAAAGTTTAATCTCTAAAATAAGGTCTGTTTGAGATTGTCTGTACATGGACAGGAAATGGATTGCATGGACGGGTCCAGAGAATAGCGATAAATGACTCATTCTCTAAATGGTCTAAAGTTGGGAATGGTGTCCTCCAGGGCTCTGTCTTGAGGTTTCACTTGCTTAATAACAATATTGAGGCTTGAATTAAGAGTTCAAGTTCAGTGTTTGCTGATGATGCCAAACTATGAAGGGAAATAAATTGAGGACAAAATGTAGCAATGTTACAGGAAGACCCTGATAAAATAGGGGGTGGGCAGCTGCATGACAAATGAGTTTCAATACTGACAAATGGAAAGTTAGGCCCATTTCAAACGGCCACTCCGATCAGGTCTGCCTCTTAGTTTTTCAGGCAGACCTGATCAGATGCCCAATGCAAGTCTATGGGCAGCCGTGTGTAAACGGACGGGCGTCCGTTTACACATGGTTACCCCTGCCTCCAGCCAGGTCCGCAAAAACAGACTGAACAGTATTCCGTTTTGACAGACTGGATCAGGGGTAATATGATGTAAACGGACATGTGTCCCCGTAGACCGGCAAGGGGTTTGGTAAATGCACTTTTTTCCTCCATCGCAAGAAGAAGGGAAAAAAAACTGTACAGACAAGGCTCTCACATCGCTGACATCCGCTCTGTACTGCTGTGATCATGAGAGGATCAGTGCACAGGGTGAAAGGGGCCTTATGTTCCTGGGTGCTAAAAATATGCATGCAAAATACTCATTGGGACGGGCTCTACTGGACGTATCAGTGATGGACAATGATCTGGGGGTCCTTGGAGATCACAGACTCAGCAATAGTTGAAGACTCTTATGCATTAGAAAGAGCATATATTCAAGAGATAAATCAATAATTCTACTACTTCAGTTCACATCACTTCAAAACAGTGGTACAGCCTTATCCGGTTCTTGAATCCTTAGCGCAAGGGGTTCTTTACTGTCAGAGCAGTGAAGATGTGGAACTGCCTTCCCCAGGAAAGGATACCATCTTAGAGTTTTGATAATGTCAGAAACCTTTTAGATGTCTTCATTAGGAAGAATAATAACATATAGGTCTATGGGGATTGTTCGAGAATAAAAAGCACACACACACATACACTCATAAGATGAATTGGATGGACCTGTGGGTTTTTTTTCAACCATATGTAACTTTATGAATACAGATGCATTAGCGCTGACTGGAAGGACAGCTTGCTCTGCCTCTAGAGATCCGGCAGTACGGTGGATCCCTACAATATTGTCGGGATCTTTTCCAGCTGCAGTGTGGCTCTGTGCTGTCAGCATATAGGCGATATATATATATATACCTTATTTTGCGGTCCATAAGACGCACCGGACCATAGGACGCAGTCTGAGTTTTAGGTCACAGGAGGACATTAGTAAATTTCCTCCTGTGACCCTAAAGAGAACTTCAGCCCAAAAGGGTATTATAAGAAATGAAGGATTTTTGCATGCATGGATTTAATCTGTTTTGTGCTAGTCTCTTCCAATATGTTCAATAGTGGCAGATGAAGAATCTAAACACTTCTCTGCATAGCATAGTTGAGTACTTAGTAGCAAAGTAGTCGCATGTCAAAGATACGACATTGCAGGTTTATATCCAGGTACTTGTGATATTATTCAGATCATGCTGTTTCTTGCACAGTAGCTTTGTGTTCGACAAATTGGCCCTGTAGATGTATGCAACCGTAATGAGTGTATTTGCAGATCTATGGCCACATGGGGGACGATTCTCCGGTAAGTATATATACAATTAGCTTGGTGCAAGAGATGGACGTTATAGGATTACACTATTCTAATCATCCTGTTGTCTACATGGTCACTGTCACCCAGGGTCATTGGTTCCACAGGCTGGATTCACACTGCTGCGATGCATTACATGCATTGCATTAAGGCAGCCCATTTAGTGCTTTAACATGCGTTGAGCTAAGGCAGCCCATTACACGCATTCATTTGTTTTGCCTAATACACCATTTATGTTGGGCAACGCACCATAGTGGTGCACTGCACTGCAGGTGAATTGGTATGGTGCATTAAGGTGTCATTATAAATGGCAGCCCAGCGCACCAATGCACATAACCCACGTTATCGCAGCACAACAACCCAACCTTAACCACTTGCCGTTCGCCCGTTGCAAAAAAACGGACGGACGGCGGACTCACATTGGCAAGTTGCCGTAACTAGACAGCATTTTTATTCTGCTCGCGCGCGCCAGACCTCTGCTTCATCAGCTTCTTTTGGGGTCCCCAGGTGACAGGGGTCTTGGAGACCCCTAATGTCTCCATAAAGAGGACCTGTCAGTGTGCCTTTGCTATTATATAGGGGTAATGTTAAGTGTAAAAAAAATAAAATAAAAAAGTCACATATAAAAAAAGTTTTAAAAAAAAGCGCAAAAATGTTTAAGTCCCCCACCCCCACGTTTGCGCACATATAAACGTAAATACTGAAAAATGGCCTGGAATGGAAGGGGGCTTAACACCGCGGACTTCAAGTGGTTAATGATAGTTCCCTCTACTATACCACATGCAATAGGTGTCCCACACATTAATTTCAGTAGATAAAAGTCCCAGCTATCGAGCCAACACACTAGTGTGTTCCATCCACTCCTAAGTGGACTAGTATTACTAGCTACCTGAAGTCCATACCAGAGCAGATGTTAATTTGGTTCTCTTTACAAATAATTGTAATCCTAAAGCTGGCCATACACCAGTAGAATTAAAAAATTGCCACAATGCTCGTTTGATTTTCTTATAGTTAATGAGGTCAAATCATTGATCATTTTCGACCATAGTGATAAAAAAAAAAATCGAAGGAGCTGGTTGACAAATTTTTCATGAACAAACAACAGTGAATGTGGTTTTCACTTGGGAAACTTAATTCATATCCAAAATCGAATGTTAAAACCAAACAAAATTTCAAGCAGCATTTGTAAAGTCTCTGATGACATTATCAAATGTTCTGACGAGATGGTACCCAAAGCTACCAATGTATGGCCAGCTTTAGTCATACAGCCTTGACGATGAGCCGCTTTTAAAATGCATTATTAGTGAATATCGCCCTCTTGTGGTTAGATTGAGTAGTGTCTCACACATTTTAATAGCTGTGACAGGTTAAGTAAATTCAGCCAGGCTACATGCTACTCAGACCACAAAGCTGCCATGAAAGCAATACTTTAAATCATTTAGGCATCATCAGACTGTATGCCTGAAATATTGAAATATACACTAATAAAGAGTTAGCAGAGTTCTAAAAGGTTGTCGCAAGCTGAGAAGCAGGACAATAAGTGGTTGAAATGCCTTAACAACTATTTTTTATTATTATGACCCTTCCTTGCAGTTAAAAGATAACATGTAGTCTAGACATGATAGCCTGAAATATTTTATGCCTGTGCCCACATCCTCCACACTAAATCATGTTGTCAGCCTAACTTACATTGGAATCACTTTTGTCAGCTACATGGCAGCTACACCAGTCTTTAGGTGCCCATACACTTTACAACTATCGCAAGACATTAGTCTTGCGATTGGTTGTAAAGCAATTTAAAAAACGTACGATCTGCCCATCTTGGACAGGCAGATCGTACTCTCGATCATCGCAAGTCCGCCCCTTGAGGGGCGGGCTTCCGATGACCGCAATGCTGAACGGACAGTGTGCGCGTGCGCACATCGGCCCGGTCGGCATTTGTCTCCCGAGCACCGTTCAAACCAGCCGAAAATCGTACGATTTTCTGCTGGTTTTCTAGCGTGCTCCTTAGACAAAAGACGTGCGACCGTACAGTAGAAACGGTCGCACGTCTTCGTTCACACTCCTCGATTCTCGTACGATCGCGGGATTTCCCGCGATTCTCGTACGGGAATCGAGCAGTGTATGGGCACCTTTAGCTTTTAATGTGAACTTGTAAGTCCCTACAAAAAATAAAAGGCCGGTTCCCTACAATAGAAGAGATCTTATACTCACTTCTCCAGTGTCTCGTGTTTCTAGCATCCCACACATTCAAGACAAATGCCTTTGATTAGCTTGTAGAAAATGTTGTATTTTTGTATTATTGATAAGAGATCCTGGGAAAGGGAATGAAAAGATTCCTACTATGTCATGCTTTTCTGGTTCTCTTGTACAAATGCCCTTTTCTGATATGGCATGTTTTTCATCTCCGCAGCCGTCTTGCCCATCTCACCCCCAGCTTCTCTCTCCCAGCTGTCTGACAGCGGGCAAACTCTGAGTGAGGACAGTGGAGTGGAAGCAGGAGAAGTTGGTGGAGGCAGCAAAGACAGCAGTCCTCAGCCACAGAAAGCTAAAGGAACAGAGAACATGACAAAACCAGTAAGAGGAATTCATAGCTGCTATTTACTTGGGGATATTTAAAGCTGATGTTTTTGTTTGAAGGGTCTTTAGTTGTCCTTTTTCCCTCCTCCCCTGTGTGCCTGGATTGAAAACCCAGGGCTTGAGCTCAGGCCTACAGGGAATCACTTTTCCCTGTAAGCAGGCTGTGTGCCTTGCCTGAAGGCTACGTGGGCCTTACAGATCTGCTAGAGTCATCTCTTGAACGGACAAACACTAGAACCCAGAATCCAGTTTTGATGCTGGTGCACTCCAGATAAGGCTTCTAGATGCTCCATGATGCTGGGACACACCTATTGACTACTAGTTAAGGGGTTGTAGGAGCAGGAAGAGAACCTCTGATTGGTCAACCAAAACGAAATACGAATTCCGTTAACGGATTCCGTATTCCGAATTCCGTATTTCGGACTTAAAAAAAAAAAACTACCATCAACTCCAATATAAATGTACTTTGCTTTTTACCTTCAATATAACGAATGTTCGTAATGGAACGAAAATACGTCAACGGAATTTCGTATTTACTGCCTGTATTTGTAATGCAACTCTCAGCAGCAGAATAGAACCTCTGATTGGTCAACCAAAACAAAATATGAATTCCGTTAACGGATTCCGTATTCCGAATTCCGTATTTCGGACTTTAAAAAAAAAACTACCATCAACTCCAATATAAATGTACTTTGCTTTTTACCTTCAATATAACGAATGTTCGTAACGGAACGAAAATACGTCAACGGAATTTCGTATTTCCTGCCTGTGTGTGTAACTGTGTATTGTAATGCATCAGCAGCAGCGGATCCGTATCTCGGATTAAAAAAAAATCTTGTCATGCTGTTCAACCTCATTTACAGGGGTAATATTAGTTCCTGTTTCAAAGAAATTCGGATCCGAAATTCGTTAACGGAATTTCGTATTTCGGATATAATTCGGAAACTGCCATTCGGATTTCGGATGCTCCGAAATTCGGAATTTCAGGAAAATTCGTACGAATTTCGATTCATAACGAAACGAATCGCACATGTCTACTTAGCAAATTGAGCAGGCTGAGGATCCCCAGGTGCTGCAGCATTGGTAAGTAATGGCTGCTATGTTAGGGTCATCTCACATGAAAACAGGGTTACAAATTCAAAAATCTTACTGATATACACGTTTATAGTAAATCTATGAATTCTTGGCTGATCTGATAGTCTCTCCCATAATCTGATGTTTCTATGCATTCATGGCTTCCAAACATTATGCAGCTATATATAGTGTGAATTGCTGCAAGTATGCTGAATCATTACACAAACATTTTCAACACTATAAACCTATACAGTATCACTTCCAAGCTAAGCTATGTCCATGTTGAAAGACCAATGGAAACCCTGCCTCTCTCCCAGCCTCTTTACTTTTGTGTGGCCACTTTTCAGTTCCATCCTTCTTCCATGGATGGGAGAAGACTCCAATAAAGGACCCATTGGCAGGTAAGAGAGAGGAGGACAATGAAGTCCCCGGGAGGCCAGACAAGCTGGGGTTTCTGTGGGCAGTGATAAAAAGAGTTCAGTGGTAAGCAAGGAATAGGTTAAGAAGTCTTACATGAGCGCTATATTACCAACTTGTGATTACCCCTGAAAGCCAGTGTTCAGTGGTGGTGTTTGAACATGGACTACAGCTTTATTTGGATTTGACATTCAGTTGGAAGTTTGAACTCCAGCTCAGAGTTTGTGCCTAGAGCTGTTATTAGAACAAACATACAGCACATTCCCCTTTTTATCGTGTAGCTTGGTAGTGGAAGATCTACTGTATACATGATGTCACATAGACAGCAGTCTATGATATAGAAGCATGATGAGCTGCACTTTGTTATGAAAGCATTCAGCATGTATTCCTGTCCCCTGGGGAACCTATCTTGCCCAAAATGGAAAACTAAATCAGGTTTATTTCATAACACAAACAATAATAATGCACAGTAAGCCCTAGTCACCAATTGCAGATTAGGCATAGTCTAAAGCTGCCAATGGCTTTCACACTTGTATGATTTGGTTATCCTCAGGGCAAACTCTGTACGCCAGACTTATCACTGGAAGAGGAAGAACAGGAAGCAGAGAACAGGAGTCCAGTGCCAGCAGGAGGAACAATAGCTATCGCAGTATAGGGGTTCCGCCTGATTGGATGCTACAACTGACTGCGGCTGTCTGGCTGCAAGGGTCAAGGTCTTGCCATAGACACGAGATTGAAAGCAGACAAATGAGATGGCTGTCATTACATATTTATAGATTCCTGAACTACACAGATGACAGCAGAGCTTTGATTCTGAAAATGGTTGCTATGGCATCATTGCTCTTTGCACTATGCCATTTGAAACGCACACCCACTTGGTTTTTCCAACAAAGGTTGTCGTGATTGCAGACTCTGCTTGCTGATACACCTGTTTGTGAAATCTAGCTGTTTTTCCTATATAAATATAAATCATTTATGTCTAAATATGAGAGGAATGCAAAACAGGGAAAAAAAAACAACCACAAGCGCCCACACCCGCAGCTGAAAAAAAGTGCAGAGTGATACACCCCCGAGGCAGCTCCCACTGGTCAGGGTAACCGGCAAGCTGAAACAAAAAACAAAAAGGAGCGCCTCCATCGTGTAAACCATTTTAAATAATCTGTAAAATCAGCTAAGACCATACTCACAAGCACATGGGATTAGCAGACATGTAGGTTACAAAGGTAAAAGAAAACACGGATGATTCATAAAAGCCTCAGCCAGCAGGCTGCAAGCCCTCCATGGTTTACGCGTTTCAGAGGACGCGCCTCCTTCCTCAGAACCAAGATGAGTTGCTCATATCGCAATCATTGGCATTAACTTGCATGCTGGTAATGAACTTTATAACAGAGAAACAAAAAAATGTCCAGTGCATTGTGGTCCAGAAAATGGTCAAGGTGTGTTTTTAACCTGCATTGAGGCTTGTTGACAAATTAATGGTGTCTGCCTTTTGCAGTCCCTGTAAAGCAGAGGTCATAGTGGCAGAGTAAGAAGGAGCACAAGGAGCCAATCAGTTTATGTGCTACCAAGGAGCATGCCGATAGAAGGAGAAAGCAATGCGACATAGAGATGAGCTCATTACTGTGCTGCTTCACTGTCTAGTCACAAACTGGGGGTGGGTTTATGACATCTTAGGTTTAAAAGGAAGTAGATAGAATGATGCTTGCAGCCATTCAAGCTGGAAGTCCGAGGTTATCTATTGGCAGAAAAGAAGTACTGCTCTGGATTGAAGGTGAGTATTGCAGTAAAAGCTGTTATATTTGATCTTTTAATAGGCTATTTTCTTTATTAATTTTTAATTGGAGGTTTGCTTTAATAGCACCCTTACAAAAGTGCCTAAAACAATCCCAGTGCAAAAAAGGCAGGGGATAACTTGCCAACACATCTCCTATTCTGTACGTAGCAGCGGTTACTAAATAGCAGACTAAGGTCAAGACATGGACCTAGTGGCGGTTACATCCGGACCGCGATAATCGACCTGCTGCTTCTGTCATAGGTTGCTAGGACCACTGGCTTCCTATTACCAATGAATAACGCAGACAGGGCCCACTGCTACAACTATACAACTACAAGTGATTTGGGCGGCCGCCCCTGCCGTGGTTTTCAGGTGCCCAGCTCCTCTGGGGGACCCCAGTCTACAGCACACAGTGTCAGGATGGAGAGCAGGAGCAGATTGGGGAACATCCGTTCCCCCGATCTGCTCTGTGATCACTGAAGCCAAAACGAATAAAGTAAAAATAAAAATGTAAAACCAACCCTGCCATCCGCACCATCTGATTCTAATGAACATGTGCGCATAAGGCATGCACATGTATGTAAATAGGGGATAAATAAACAGTGCAATGCACCGGGACCGGCGCATCAGCATTCTGCCAGGGAACACACACCAGCAGATGTGCGTTGCAGTGCAGATGCTGGTTTGAATGCAGCCTAAATGGCGGACTGCAGTACGGAACAAGTGACTTTTCTGTCCGGACTGCGATTCCCACCTCGGCTCGATGGAAATTGTTTTCAATGGACCTCCCTGAATTCTAATTCACTACCCCTGATATATGGTTTCTAACAATAATACATTTTTGTTTTAGCTTTTAATTGCTGATACAAAAGACATCCATCACACTGTTTGGTCATTTTATAGTGACAGGAAACTGTTACATCTACGCCACTCTCTCTACTTTGTCTATCACAGTTTGGTCTTTACAACAGAATGACAGATGTCACGTTCCCAAGATCCTTTGTGTGTGTGTCGCTGTTTTCCTTAGTATATTCCATGCGTTGTTCCCTAATCCCCTTTATCCGCTCATGTGGCTAATCTTTTCACCTGCTTTGTATTGAGAACTGACAAGATGTCTTTTCTGTAGCCAGGCCTGCTGAAACCTTCTGCCACCTTAGTGCGTGTCATGAAAAGTGTACCTACTCTAGGGATAGCGATTGAAGGAGGAGCCAAGACGCGACAGCCATTGCCACGTATTGTAACTATACAGGTAAGTGCCTTACACCCAACATTATGCAAAGCTCCCAACTGCCTCTCATTTGGAGAAACTGTACCCCTTTTCAAACCAAATCCAACTGTCCCTCGTTTTGATTTGATGTACTATAGACCTCTATTACAAAAATTGTACTATATACTGTAACTACCACAAAAATTATATACTACACTAGACCCATTCAACCTTTAACTCGTTGCATTTGTTATTTTCAAAAGCCAGTATAAAAGTAAAGTAGTAAAAGAAAAAAGCACTTGTGGGTTTAACCGATCATTTTTTACAAATTAATTCTTCCTTGTGTGGGCAAATGAGAGAGAAAGTGGCATGGGTGTGCCAAATATCTGGGGGCATGGTAAGGGTTTGTCCTTTGCCTACATACTTTGTGCTGGAAGGTGTCCCACTTTCAATAATCTGGCAAGTACTGTATGTATTATATCAAATACTAAGGGGTGCATTTATTAAAAAGTCGCAGAGCTTTTTATCCTGTGAAGCTGCATGTGCATTCCTTCCGGGGCAAAATAGAATGTTATTGGGCTATTTTCTCTCTAGGTTGAATGTTATTCATTCATAAAGAATGGAGTGAATCAGGAAAATACTGGATTATGGCCACTAGATGGAGCTGAGGATCAAAGGAAATAGGTGCTTATATCCGGTGATCCTCTGCTCCATCTAGTGGCCATAATGCAGTGTTTTCTTGATTCACTCCATTCTTTATGAATGAATAACATTCAACCTGGAGAGAAAATAGCCCAATAACATTAGATTTTGCCCTATTCACGCATAATTAATATAAATGCAGTTTCACGGGATAAATAGCTCTGCATTTTTTTTAAATAAATACAACCCTTAGTATGGTTGAAACAATAAAAATATAATACTTCCCTCACAGATGTGCTATTTAGGGCATGTTTATAAAAAGCAGGTAAATCTAGGCATTAGTGTGCATAGATTCATCTGCCACCACTGGCCATTTGCTGCCATTGTCCTCACTATTCACATACTGTATTTTAAAATAGTAGACCCAAATGTAAGGGGCTAACGAGGACTTATGTGAAAGAGGTTTTTAGAGTGAAATTCTTCTAATTTGCAGTGTGGTGAACGTGGTATTAAATGACAGAGCGGGATTGAGTGCAAGTCAGTCAAAGGTGTCAGTGACGAATCACTGCTAAATTATTTTTCCTGTAGTGAGGCAAGGGTCAGTAAAAGGAACTAATAAGCGCAGAGGGTAAGAAGGAGATTGACAGTCCCATAACTGTCGGCTTATGAACAAGACTTAAGACAGGAAGTTATCTCAATCAAAGCAGCGTTCTGGGCCACAGGCAGCGGGAGAGGTAAGTATCTTCCTTACAAGTAGGGCCTTCATTCAGGATTTTATTTTAGCGTCACCTTTATTATTTACAGTTTAGATTTTCTTTGCTGACTAGGGATCCACTTAAAAGCTAGCCATACATCAAACAACTGGGCCTCTATAAATGCTACATGTATTCCCAGCTTTAAGAACGTGCATATGGCCAATTGTTATTGATGTCTTCCAACTCTTACAGCACCTCTGCCAAATTTCCAGATAATTCTTGGAAGAAAAGAAAATGTATATGATTACTGCATAATATATGCTAAAACAGCCCAATACAGCCTCCAGTCTGCCCACTTATTGGCAGCTTTAGTCCTAAAGACATCAATGTAAAGGAGTGCGCCAATTCAAATACAAAATGAAGTGATAAATATGTCAAATGAAAAGTTGTATTTCCATCACACACATTCCTGGACAGGGGGTTCTGTAGCAACTGCCAGTAGGTTGGCTGGTGTCATTGCACAGATGAGAATGTATGTTGCCCGCACACCATGGATGGAACATTTCAAGACCACCTAGGACCTCTTCGTCAGGCATGTGATCATTATGAAGAGGTCCTGTGTAGCCTCAAAACATTACAGTGCGGTGTTGGTTACAGATCCATGGTGAGTTGGTGACACAGAGATTTTCATCTATGTTTTTGTGTTGCGTATAGCCTCTAGAAGAAGGCATCAAAGTTTTGGGCCTGTAAAAGGGGAATCAGGTGAGTATTAAACTGATGGGGGAGCGGGAAACACGGACAGTGGGGGAGTTATGGCAAGTTAGTTTAGGAGCAGTGCGGATGAGTTTTGAGGGGCTTTACTGTTTGCTCTGCTTTTCCACACTCTGTGTTGTTATACATGATGGCTATGGTACATTCACCTTCTCTTCTCTCAATTTTGTTCCCAGCGAGGGGGGTCAGCGCACAATTGCAGTAAGCTGCGGGTGGGTCAGGTCATCCTGGAAGTCAATGGGATCTCCCTTCAAGATAAAGAACACCGAGATGCTGCCAGGATCATTGCTGAAGCCTTTAAGACCAAAGAGAAGGATTACATGGACTTTCTGGTCACAGAGTTTAATGTGTCGCTATAGTGGCTATTTATGGTGCCCATGTCATCGGATAACCCAGCCAGGGGTCAGTGCCACGAGAAACAATTACTACATGCTACTTTGTATACTGTGTAGCTGCCATCTGTGTGCTCTTGCTACATATGTGCTCCCTCCGTCAGCCTTGTGGCTTATGTACTCCTTATATATGATAATTATTATGTCATGCTGGAGCTGGGACTGGAAAAAAGGAGAAGAAAGTAGTTTAAAACATTCTAAGGACACCTTAAGATAGAGCCAGACAGTATTCCCACTGTCCACAGAGGTTAGGACAAGTCACTGCTGAGATCTTTGGCCTGATGGATCCAACATTTGCCTGAGTGAAGGGTTCGGGTTTTTAAACCTTGACTTAAACACATCACCTCCTGAGTATTATTTTGATGAATGGGTCATACAGAGATGTTCAAGCATGCTTGAAAATCTCTGCTACAAATGTAAGTGTCTTTCTTTGCTCATTAGAGCTGATGTTTGCATGGTTGTCAGCCAGTGTACTATGCAAATATTACTAGCAATGCCAGGATTGTTTGCATTATCAGTCTGGGTAGACACCAGTGGGCTGAATCACTAATTGGTCTCACAGCATAAAATAATTCTCTAGTTGAGTTCCTGGCTTTACCACACCAGCCATGACAATCCCATTCCTCCAGCTGCATTCTCTGTAACCAAACCAAAATGATTGAAGAATAAACTCTAGTGGGCCTAACCCTGAACCCCAGACAAACAGCTAAATACATAGATAAAACTGTGAGCTGTTTTACCTTCCAAAGGATTTTAACTTCTGTCCATCCAGTCCTTAGACTTACACAACCCTATCACATTGCACAACCAGAAGTATGACACTACGTACAGTTAAGCAATACAGTGGTGCCCGCACTCCACCCCAGCCTTTTGACTGGACGATGAAAGACTGATGAGGTAGTTTCTCTGTGCACCCACTTGCTTCTTAAATGTCATGTTGACTCCAGCAGTAAGATTTCCCCGACAGACTTCGTCTCCCATTAAGTCATCTCTGGCTGCTTCATGTAGCAATATGTCAAGTCAGTATAAAAGACCTGAGATATCACTGGTCAAAATCAGCACAGATAGAAGGAACTGGAACCCATGTAGAGGGGTATCACTGCCAGGGTTCCTGAGAGGTGGGTAGTGGGTGAGAAGCTGGGAGAGGAGCTGCTGGGTGATTCCATTAACTGGCTTCTACCCAAAAACCAAAATAAAAGCCTTGAGCAGACAGATCCTTTAAATGAGTAAATTCATAGTAAGAGACACAAACAACACATACAGGAAACACATAAACAGATGCCGATTATATTCTAAACCAATAGACAATAGTGGGGCGTTTACGTTAGCTTATAGACAACAATACCAATTCCATTTCCACTCCACTGCTCTGTACCTGAACCTCACTAGCCCATTATGGAAAAGAGCAATTCCCACTCCATCTTGCTACAGTGTGTGAGTGATGTGCAGCTCGGGTTGCGACCATTCATGTAAAATGTATGTAATTACAGAGCTTGTCACTTTACTTTTTCAATAAACCTTGTATGAGAGAAACACTTGGATGTTAACATTGTTAATTAAATTAATAGAGACAAACTGTCTGTAGAGTACTGCTTGCTGCATTGACTATTATATCTGCACATTGACCAAGCAGACAAGTGGGGCACTGTTAAAGCTCCGATGTGCTAAAGATCACATATTGCTGAATTGTATTGCACTACGGGAGAGAACATTGATTGAATGGTTTGAATTGCTCATCATAGTCAGTTATTCTTTTCAAGCTCTAGTCCATAAAAGAAGATATGAAAATAAGAATGGAATTGGCTGAAATGGACAGCCGTCACAATGTACGGTGATACACTATTGTGAAATCAAGTTTTGCTTGGATAAGCAAAAAGAACACTTTTCAATGAGAAAACTTTGTTCAAAGTCCATTATGAAGAGTGGATCTAGCATAAGAAATATTTTTCCTTTATAGTCACATTAGCCCTCAAGGAATCTAGTGCATTGCATCAGGTCCAATAGTGTGCATTGTATCACGCATTGCTGGAGATGTCACGGTTTACAATTTTTTCCTTTTGTTTTAAACTTTATGTGGAGTGTACAATGTGTACCCGCCATTCAGGTCCCCCGCACAGTGTAGCAACCTGCGATGGCATCCGACGGGCCGAATTTACTCTCTCTGCTGCCCGAGGTAAGGTTCCTCAATGCGCCCCCTACCTGCCAATCCCCCAACCCATAGAGAATGGCAGACCTGCAGGCTGCATACAATGTCACCAAGATCACTTGTACAAAACAAGCGGCGGCTTCCCCGCTGTGCATTTAGCTGTGCTTGCCCAAAGCAGGGCTAAATGTAGAAATCAACTACCCGCCCGGCGCCTGGAACTGCATGACCCGGGCATTGGGAGATAGGAATTCTACACCCCTGCTGCCCCTCTACTCCCTGCTGCCCCAAGGCCGGGCCTTGGTTGGCCTTGTGGGAAAACCAGCCCTGAGCGCACCGCCCACTGCGTTGTAGTGTCAAAGGGACACAGCTGGGAAACAATTGTTTTATTTGTTTATTTCTATCTAATTGTCTATCTTTTATTTGTAAATTCCTCCTCTACTCATCTCTCTACATCCTTGGTTCTCAACTGGTGGGTCGTGACCCAAAAGTGGGTCACGACGCCGTGTTCAGTGGGTCGCCACATGCCTTCCACTTTCTAGGTGAGAAGCTCCTCTTCCTCCCCCTAGCGCAGCACAGTCAGTTCTCACACCAAGCAGTCATTCAAAATATGCTGCCCGGCATTGAGTGTCAGCTTGAGGTGCGGTGGGCTAGAAGTATGGCCACAAGGGAGCTCCATCCATACGTGCATTGCTTACAGCTCCTTTGCATGTCCTGTAGAGGTGCCTGGACCAGAGTGACATTACATTCTGGCTCCCGCCACCTCTACCGAGTTGTACAAGCAATGCACATATGGATGGAGCTCCGCCACAGCACAGCAGCCTACACCGGACCCCAGACTGAGGACCCACTCCAGTTCTCATAAGTTAGGGAGACTGGTGGATCTTAAAAAAAATAAAAAAATGAATTATATTTTTTTGCAGTGTGTATATGTGTGTGAGATTGTGTCTGTTGTGTGTGTCTGTCAGTGTTTTTGAGGGCCTGTTCACACTAGCACAGTGCATTAATCGAACAGTCCTGTGCCAATAACACACTGTACCACGTTATTGCACATACTACGCATTCTTTTGCAGGATGTGTGTTAGGTTGCCATTAATTTGAATGGCACCCCAAACGCACCTCCCAGCCACAGTTCAATTGCTCGCACCGGAACATGCAGTACTGCAATACCGTGCGTTCCAATGCACTGCGACTTGGGTCGCGACTTAATGACCAAGGACAAGTGTGGGTCCTGAGTTTACACAGGTTGAGAACCACTGCTCTACATAACCTTTTACGAGGAGTGAAGCATGAAAAGGAATACCATAGAGAGACCTTTTTCAACTAGCCTTCTGTGGAAACCTAGGGTTCCTCCAGAGCTGGCTAGGGGTTCCTAGAGAAATGACTAGTTTCTGCCTCTCAGATAAGTGACCACTTACATCAATGAACTTTTTAGCCATCTGTAAGGGGGGAATACTTCCCACTGACAACAAATGTAAGGAGCATTCTTCTCACTGACCTATACACCAATGTAACATAGCTGCAGATATAGTAGCTATTACACGAAGTGTTACTTCATGTTAATGAGGTTGGGTAAGGCAGCTATAGACTGTCACGGTATACACCCAGATTTTACACACCAAGATCCACCAACATCCCCCATCGCATAGTTCCACTAGATCCACTCCGTTCACGTCACTCCTGGTAGTTGCGCTCCTGTCCTTTGAGTTTTTATCTGCAGTTACTAATAGACAGGGTCCTCTCCCTGTAGTGAGGAGCTTTGCACACCTACAAACAACAGCCATCCTATTGAAGTTTGCCCACAGGAGTGCGCTTTATCTTTTTTTGTGTTCTCCATTTGTTCCATTGCGAGGTTCGATATAAGCAGCATACCATCCCTTTTGGGCAGAAAATGGCTTTCCCACACAAAGAGAAATTATTCAAACATTGATTGCTATCAGAATTTTTTCTGATAGCAATCAATACCCAAACACATCCAAACTTCCACACCTCACCAGGACCAGGTTTAACAACTGCCAAACGGTCGGTCATCACCCCCCGCCGTATTCTCCCACATTTGAACTACACATGCGTAAACAATTTGTAACTTTACAGACCCAGATCAATACAGAGAGCCAACAATGGTGGGACATAGCCTTTCTAGAACATTATCTTAAATTAGGCATCACTCCAAGAGGCCTCCGGATCCAGAAAACATGTGACTTTCTGGAGCAGGACCTCGTTTCCAATTGGCACCTCCTGGCTGAATTCTGTACCAAAAAATGGATAGAATTGATTGTCATTCAGAGGAAACGCAAATTAGAGCTCATCTCCAAGTCTATACATGACCTCCGGATTAACATAAATAAGTCCTTCAGCAAGTCCTGTTTGTTCAGCCCCTGGCTACTAAATATGGAACAGGTAACCACAATACAGGAATACACCATCATCAAATCTAAGTCCAAGAAGCTATTAAGAGACCTTGCCGATTACAACTTGAACAGAGTGTTCAGTTGGAAACACACTCCCCGACAACAGTCCACACCCAACCCAGTTCCTCTAATGGCGACTCATCCTGTAGCCTCCACCAGAGTGGCTAACCTTGTATGGGATGACATCTCCCTAAAATACCATCTCGGGCCAGCCCAGGGTCCTAAGGACACACCAGAGAATCTCCCTGAAGACCCAGTCTATTCACCCAGTTCAGATTCCCTGTCCTTGTCCACCATCCGTGTCCCTGATCCAGTGCCAACCCCCACACAAGTTCATACACCACCAGAAACCACCCACACGGAAAATCCTCCTAGTGAATTCACAGGTCCGCCGGGACAACCCAATGAGCCCTCAATGATATCAAAACCGGCTTTTTTAGGGGAGGGCCCGGTACACACCCCAAAAACAAAAAGGAAAAAAACAGAAGAGGAACCAGAGGTGGGAAAAATAGCAAAAATGCCAAAGAAAGAAGATCCACAAACACACAAAACCCCACCACAACCATAAAAATGTTTAACTTGTCCAAACACAATCTCACTTCCAGCGAAAGATCATTACTCCTAAAAGGTTTAAACTTTGCCCCAGACACCAAACCAGACCCATTCACTCTTTTTAAAGATCTCAACAAGTTCATTAGGCTACTGATCCTCCGGAGACATTATGCCAACATTACCACAGCAGTTCCCACCAGTGTCATTTTCCCTAGGATCCCTCCAGAATTAGTGACAGTGGCAGACTTCTTTGATGAGAAAGATGGAGATGTGTTGCAAACTCTCTATGATTTGGCAGATCAGAATTCCTGTTTGGAGTTTGATCTTGAGCACTTTCTAAATCCCGACATTATCCAAACCTCTTTTAGACCAAAATCTACCTTCTTTCCGTTACACTCCAAGGGCCCATTCATAGACACATTCTATCATG